ATTAATTTAAAAATATGAATGCGCCAAAGCCTGTGAAAATTTCCTCTAAATCCTCTTTCGAGAGATGTCATACGCATCATCGAGATCCTCCACATTACCACGTATACGTCCAGAAAAATTAGGATGTTAAGGTGAGAACAAGGAAAAATATTAAGATATAGAAAAGAGTTAAATATTTGATTCTTGCATAGTTATTCTTTATATGACCCCTTACTACTTTATATGAAAAGGTTACGATTGCAAATAGCTCCTTTTGGCCCAACTGTAACATACCGTAATCCTGAGCTCACAATTCCACCATGGTCCGCATGCCATTCCATTTCCCAAAAGCGAATCACGTTCAATCCTAGTAAAAGATTAGTTTCCTTCATGTGTACTTATGTTACATAATATTAGCAAAATTACCTAACGCAGCTCCCACTACTACAGTAACTGCTCCTTTACTTCTGCGTATACATGTTAGTCGCAATTTCCATGGATTAGATGGGTGACAGATTGCCTGAACAAAGGTTTCGAGACTATTGGTAAAATTGAATCACCATTTTAAGTACCTGGAATCTCTGGGCACAAATCAAAGTTAACAGCCAGATAGCTGCATAGTTGGCCGCTAGCATCAACGGGTATCCGAGACGTACAGTAATTGCATTCAAACGGTGGAGATTAGCCGCTTCTCGAGGGAACTCATTTCCAACGAACTAAAAGTTCCAAAATAAGTTGAAGTTATTTCAAACAGAGATTTAGAAAAACAGAAGTCTCCCATAGTAGTCATAAGACCTGAACCTTTATATTCATCTTCTACTTGAATACTTATTGAGAAATTGTGAAAGATTGTTCTTAGCACATGTTTTAACAAAAAGCTCACTCTTAGAAATATTATGGGTAAAGAACCAATTGCTTTCTTTCAACAAATTTCTCGAAAAGAGATTTACAGCTTATTTTCTTGAATTCTTAAAGGAAGAAGCAGACGATCCCAAAAACTTCTAACAGGGAGCACTTTGCAATTCAATGAGCGAAGCCACCTCATCATAAACAGTGTTTAATTTCACAGAAGCTGCTTCGGATCCTTTTATTTAATGAGAACCTGTTTTTTAGCTGCACCTGCATAAGAAGTAACTCGTAACAAAATGCTTGAAAATCCCAATAGGCTGGATACAACTCATAGATCTTCCAGTTGTCAGTCGAATGAGGCTCAGTCGTTATGCGCAAGAAGGGCATACCCATACGACTATAAGATTTATTGGTTACTATTGGATTTCTAAGGGCATCGCATCTCTACGCATATTTGCACCATAAATTTGAAAACAGCTTCATAAATGCCCAGCTCCTTGCAATTAGACCAAGCAGATATGGCGCCTCTATGTTAAAGTGATGTTAAAGATTTCACGATGTTAGGAAGAAGTGTTACTAATTTAACAGGCTTTCAGAAAAGTAATTTTATGATTAAAAAAATCGATTAATTCTGTAAGCCCAAATCTCTCGCTTCATTAGACATTTTTAGGGAAGGAATTTGAAGTTAAGTCGAAGATCAAAAAGTCAAAATTTTGGCTTGAAATTGAAAAGAAAATGAGTAAAGTGTTAAAGCATCTACTTGCCTAATTCTGGGCCATATTCTCGTGAAATTAGTTGAAATTTTTTAAATAACAGAAATAACATAAATTATAATTCCACAGTATCTCCTTCATTTATAGCTTTACTCAAAAACGCCTATTTTTTTATTGTTTTGATTCTATTTTCAAAAGTTTCTTTTCTATCTTAACATCTTAGTAGAGTAAGATTGAGCCACAGATTTGACTCG